GAAGGGGACCGGCGCGGGGGAAGAAGCCCACCCAGCCAAGTGCTGGAGACACCTTTCAAACTTGTCACCCTCTCCCAGGGAGAGCCAGAGGCACTCACATGCCATCAGAGCAGGGCCCTTTGCTCCCTCCCCCTGCCACTGCTCCCCTCCGTTGGGATGTCTGGTTCCTTCCAAGGCTGGAACGTTTGGAGCAAAAAGCTGCTTTCCAGGGATGGTGCTAGAAACCTCTACCCAGACTGCCCAGCAATCCTCCCGCCCTCTCTTGCCTCTTCTCCTCCCCTCCCCTCGCTCTGCTCCGGGCTCCTCTCTCTGGCCCTGATGCAAAGCCACTGAAAGCCTCTCCCGGACACCCGGGGGCTTTGGATCAGACCCTAAAACGGCAGATGGGCTGCGGTTCGGTCCCCACCTTCCTCCTGAGCTCGTCGGGAGACTTGAGACAGAAGCACACGCGCTTGCTGAGACCCTCTGTGGAGATCAGGGGCCTCGCATGGGAAAAGAGCGTTGATGGCTCGCGATCCTTGGCACGGGAGAGCCTGGAGCCCAGTGCAGGAGTAACCGAGGGTCGCCTTTACGTGCAGGAGCAGTGACTGAACAGGGAAGAATCAGGTTCCTTGCTTGCTGGGAGAGGTTTCCGGGGCTTGCCCTGGCCCTGTGCTAAGCCCGCGTGGTTACAGAGCAGCGCTGCACAGGAGCATGATCGGGACTCCGGGGGTCATGCGCTGCTTCACGTGTTGTGCTTTGGCTTGTGCCCGTGCGCAGGCCGGGGAGACGCCCCTCCACCTGGCTGCAGCCGTGAAGAAGGACCTGGTGCACTTGGAGGAGGAGGAGACCAGGATCATCGCCATGCTCATGGAGTATGATGCCGACATCTCCCGCACCACTCGGCTGGTACGTACAAGCCTGGGGTCCACTGGGGCAAAGGACTCGGTGGATGCCTGACATCACTGTGCGTTACAGGCATATAAGGCCATCTGCCAAGCACCTTCCACCACAGTTAGCAGTGTGAGGGGCATGGGTTTCCCCAGACCTAGGAAGCTGAATTAATTGTGTGTCCTGTTTTGTCCTGAAGGTTCCCAGTAAAAGAGTCATTTACTCAGCGGGCTGCATGGAGAATGATTTGCAAAATTATTATTCCTGATTATTATTTTTAATAATAATAATTAGTAATAATGTCCTTGTTGAAGCAGCTATGTGCTTAGTTCTCTTGAAAACAACCCTCACAATGCAGCGGCTTGGATACTGCTTGGCTTAGCTGTCAGACTTCTGAAAAGAGTTAAAAATAAAAACGTATATATGAGACCTATAGTTATCTGCATCCTGGTGGGTCCCAAAGCACTTCCCCCATTGCGTATGCACCGTGCCATGGAAATATACAAGGCAGAACATGTCTACAAAGGAAACAACCAGTGCAACACATGCTGTACCATAGTGGTAAAGACAGAATGAGGGGTAAGGACCCCAGAACAAACCCTTCCCTTCATGGTTTACCCGGAACAGGCAAGATCTTAGCTAGTAAGGAGTCCCCCATAAGTTCTCCTTACTCTTGATGGGGGGGGCTGACGAAGTTGTTCAGGCTAATAGGGTGCATGGAGAGTAAGTTCTCCTTACTCTTGACGGGGGGGGCTGGCAAAGTTGTTCAGGCTAATAGGGTGCATGGAGAGAGGTTTCTCCGAGTCCCTTTGGTTGTTGGTGTGTTACAGTCTCTCGAGACCCCCCTGCATTACTGCGCCCGGGTGGGCAATTCGGACATCCTGCTGGAGATGCTGAAGCACATGAGCACCAGCCAAATGCAGCAGACCATTAACAAGCAAGCCAAGGTATTTCAGTCCTGTCCTGGGACCTCTCCCCTGGGTCTCCAAGGGGAGCATTTCTGAGCAGGAGCAATGACCGGCAGACAGGTTAACTCCGGAGAGTTCCTTGCTAGTTCTGCACCGCACCGGGCAGCCTGTGCAAACATCTAGACCTTGCATCCTTCAGCAGCTTTCGTCTGAATGGCCGGGGAAATGTAAGTGGCCAACGTGCCCTGGGGCTGCTGAACTGACAGGGGTGCTGAAATTTGAATGGCCGGGGAAATGTGAGCAGCCAACATGCCCTAGGGCTGCTGAACTGACAGGGGTGCTGAAGAAAAGCCCTTCCCAACTCTTTGGTGAGTGGCAGGCCACATGCACTAGTCTGCAGAGAGAACAATACCCACACACCAGGGATAGACAGACGCCTGGTTTGTAGGCTCAACTCTTTAAGCTAGAGCTCTGTGGGATGGTTCTTGGGTACCCAGAGCTGGGAGGCCTGCTTGTCCCCTGCCGGCAGCATGCAGTAGTCCAGCTCCCGAATGCAGGGGCGGGGAACCTTTTTTGGATCGGGGCCACTGACCCACAGAAAAATCAGTCGGGGGCTGCACACAAATGAAATGAGATACCTTCTTATATGCCAGATTAACTCTTCTGCAGTTGTAGGACTAGTTGATTTTTTAGGTCTTCCTACACTCTGGAGTGGGGCCAAAAATGAGGGGTTCAGTGTGGGAGAAGGGATTGCGAGGGAGCAGGCTTGGAGTATGGGGTGTGGTAGGGAGGGTGTAGGAGTGGGTTGGGGGTTCTGGGAGGGAGGGTGCAGAAGCAGAGTGGGGGGGGTGCCAGGTCTGGGCGGAAAGGGGCCGGCAGGGCTGGAGTGCCAGCTCCCCAATGCTGGTGGGGGGAACCTTGAGCCTCGGGGGCCAGATCCAGGCAAGCCAGAGCCAGATTCAGCCCTTGGGCCATAGGTTCCCATCTCGGCCCTAACGGCACCACCCTTGCCCAATCTCCTCCAGGGTAGGCCTGCTCTGTTTTTGCCTGCCTGTGTGAAGCCCAGCCCCTGAGCGCCCTTGGAGCGTTCCTCTGGCGTGTTGTCAATTTAACCCCTGAAATAAGCCCGTGTTGGCTTGGAAAGCGCTCACAGCCCAGAGCATCTTCCCTAGGGGCCAGGAATCCTTCCCCTGTGCCCATAGGAGAGCTGCGGCCTGCTGGACGAGTGAAATGGGAAGGTCTAAGGGAGTGGTTGTCCCAGGGGATGGCGATGGGCTGAGGACTCATTCGCCCCCAGGCGGGTTGGGGAGTGGCAAAGGGTCCTTGCCCTCGGCTGGCTCGTCGGCCGACGTGACGTGAGCTGGTGGCCTCAGGCCTTTTTTGAGGAGACGGGTGGCCACGTCATAGAGCCTCCAGCACGGCTGGCATTGGCTGACAGTCACCTCAGAAAAGAGGGCAGGCACTTAATGGACGCCGAGACTGAGGTGCCATAAGGCTTGGCCGAGGTGGGTCCCTCCGCGTCGGCCCTCGGCAGGGAAGGCGTGTGAGGAATCTGGTGCTGTCATTGTCCTGCCGGTGCCCGTCAGGGGGCTACATGGAGCTTTTGTTCATCCAGCACCTTTGCCCACCACTGAACTGACGGCATTTCTGAACCTCAGAGAGCGCTGGCTCTCCAGGGCTGTGACAATAGCAGGGAAGGAGCCAAAGAGCTAAGCAGGTCCCGTCTCTCCCTCCCATTCCTAGAACGGCTGGTCCCCGTTGCTGGTGGCGGCGGAGCGAGGACACACCGCGATAGTGAAGATCCTGCTCCAGCACCATGCTCGCGTCGACGTCTTCGACGAGGTAGGGACCCGCCGGCGCCGCCTCAGCATCATGACAATCCCGGTCCTCGGCAGGGCCCCGGTGCTTTGCGTACGTACCGAGGCTGTGGGAGAGGGCGGGGGAGATCCCTCTCCGGTGCATGGGCCTCATTCCAGAGTTGCTATGACTGACCTCAGAGTATGAGGGGAGCGTTTGAGGCCAGAGGCTGCACAGCCAAACCCACTGTTGGCTGCTGTCTCCAGACCCGCGTGCTCCAGTGAGGTGTGAGCAGTGCCAGCCAGTGACAGAAGGGAATGAAGGAGAACGAGAGCCGGCTGCAATATTCCTGTACAGAGCTTCCTTCTGAGCAAATACAGGCCAGAGGAGGTCAGCATAAGATCCTTTGATGCACCGTCCGGTAGGGCCGAGGAGAACTTAAAGAAGGTATTTGACACATGGCATAAGACAGTTTAGTATTCCATTACACCTTCCCCTTTCAGTTCTACGTTCCTACCCCTTCCAATATTTGCACTAGCAGGCTATCTTGGAAGGTCGGGGAGTGTCTGAAATGTACCAGTTTTCTAACTACACAAACTCAAACGCTGCGTTTGCAATAACTGCCTGTGATCAATCTAGAATCCTTGAGTCACTGTCTTCTAGGTCTTCATCCTCCAGGAGTAGAGTTTGCTCTGATGATTGTTCTTTCTGAGGAACAAACTCCAGCTGTCGGTGCTAGAGTTTCATGCTGTATTCAAGGTGGAAGCATACTACCATAGAATACTAGAACTGGAAGGGACCTTGAGAGGTGATCGAGTCCAGTCCCCTGCCCTCACGGCAGGACCAAACACCATCTAGATCATCCCTGACAGGTGTCTATCCAACCTGCTCTTAAATATCGCCAGAGATGGAGATTCCACAACCTTCCTAGGCAATTTATTCCAGTGTTTAACCACCCTGGCAGGAAGTTTTTCCTAATGTCCAACCTAAACCTCCCTTGCTGCAATTAAGCCCATTGCTTCTTGTCCTATTCTCGGAGGCCAAGGAGAACATTTTTTTCTCCCTCCTCCTTGTAACACCCTTTTAGATACTTGAAAACCGCTATCATGTCCCCTCTCGGTCTTCTCTTTTCTAAACTAAACAAGCCCAGTTCTTTTAGTCTTCCCCCTGAGGTCCTGTTTTCTAGACCTTTCATCATTAGTGTTGCTCTTCTCTGGACCTTTTCCAGTTTCTCCACATCTTTCTTGAAATGTGGTGCCCAGAACTGGACACAGTATTCCAACTGAGTCCTATGGATTTATATATTGGCACTATTATATTTTATTTTATTATCTATACATTTCCTAGTGGCACCTAACATTGTTAGCTCTTTTGGCTGCTGCTGCTGCTGCACACTACGCACATGTTTTCAGAGAATTATTCAAGATCTCTTTCTTGAGTTGTCACCACTAATTTTGACCCGATCATTGTGTATGTATAATTGAGATTATGTTTTCCAATGTGCATTATTTTTTCATTGACCAACATTGAATTTCATCTGATGTTTTATTGCCCAGTGATCTATTTTTGTGAGATCCTTTTGTAAATTTTTGCGGTCTGCTTTGGACTTAACTATCTTGGGTAATTTTGTGTTGCCTGCAAATTTTGCCACCTCACTGTTTACCCTTTTTTCTAGATCATTTACAAATATATTGAACGGTTCAGGTCCCAGTACAGATCCTTGGGGGACAGCTATTTCTTTCTTTCCTTTTGTTTCCTGTCTTTTAACCAGTTTCTGATCCATGAGAGGACCTTTACTCTTATCCCACGACTGTTTCCTTTTAGCCTTTTTATCTGATTTGGCTACTCTCTTCATGTCTTCCCATTTGGAGACAGATTTTTTTTTCCAAATTTGGAACAGTACTTAATTGTCTTCCCACTAGGATCTGTGTGGGACTATATCCAGCAGTTGCTATTGGTGTTGATCTGTAAGTCAGAAGAGCAAGGAATGGATATTTATGTGGTAGGATTTTCTTGGCTGTATGTGCTGGTTCCTCAGCCTCTTCTTCACTTGTGAGGAATGTGGACGACTAATAATATAACCAAACTCATATTTCATTCAGAATTACTCCTGTTCTACTGCAGTGAATTGTGGTCCATTGTCTATCACTAGTTGTCTGAAGAGCAGAAATCATTGGATCATAGAACACTAGAACTGGAAGGGACCTCAAGAGGTCATCAAGTCCGGTCCCCTCCCCTCCTGCTCTCAATAACTCCACAACATGTTACATCTTTCAGCTACCTTATTTCTACATACTCAGAAAAATTGTCCACAACTACTAGGTAATGATGCCCTCTGAATTCACATACATCTGCCGCGAGTCTCTTCCAGAACCTGGTCTTAACTGTTTTAACTTAACTTAACGGTGGTGTTCTTCACTGTTCCATGTGTTGTGTTGGGTCTGGTGGTTATGCAGAGTTCACCTGCAGATTCTTTAGTCTTTGTCCTTGCTGTTCTCCAGACACCACACTGGCTCATCCTTTTAATGGTCATAAAGTGGCGAGAGGCATGTGGGAGTATTGCGGAGTTAAAATATATGTAGCGTGTTGGCTTGGTCATGCCCCCCCCTCTTAGAACTCTCTCCTCCCAAGCGGCCTGTTGGATTAATTCATTTGGAAGTTCGTGGGGGCCCAGACGTGGTTTGTAACACACGGGGTACCTGGGATGCTGTCGAAATATCTAGGGATTGTTAGTCTGCAGGCAAATCTCTGTAACGTGTCTGGCTAGAGAGGGTGTTCAAACTCTTTCTTGTCACAGTAAAGATCCTACAATAATTTCATATGCTGCCTGACACTAGACAGTGACTACGCAAACTCCCGCAGCCGGAGAGAGGGGACTAGAACTCATGTCTTGCAGCTCCAGAAACGCAGGCCTCTAGCATTTGCTCTAAAAGAAAGCTCCTTTGGCTGCCAGTAGTAGTAAGTTCTAGACCAGGGGCAGGGAACCTTTTTTGGGTCGGGGGCCACTGACCCACAGCAAAACCCATTAGGGAATGCACACAGGTCAAAAACAAAAATCCAAAACCACTGACGTGGCCCCCGACTGAGAAGGGGAAAGACACTCCCCACGTTCCCCTGGCACACCAGAGCCTAGTGCAGCCTCAGCTAGTAGATTGTGTGTGTGCTCCAGCCTCATGGGGAGGTGACGGGGGGCTGCAGTGCCGGTGTGGGCTCCCCAAAGCTGGGGAAAGCTCTGAGCCTCAGGGGTTGGATGCAGGCAAGCCAGCGGCTGCATCCGGGGTTCCCCACTCCTGTTCTAGATGCTCACTGTGGTCCTGCCACTGGAGAGCAGCACCAATCTAAGACACTTGCATGGTTCCCATCACCCTGGTATCGGAGCATCTCAGAGCCCTTTGGAAGTCGGGCACTGCTCTGATCCTCACTTTACCAGTGGGGAACGGAGAGGCCAAGGGTACGTCTACACTGCAAATCAAACCCTTGGGTTCAAGACTCAAGCCAGGATCACCCTGTGGACTCACAGCATTGGGCTAAAAATAAGAGTGGAGCTGCTCTAGCCCAGGTTTTCAGCCCCTTCCCTCTTGCTGGGTTTCAGCCTGAGCCCAAACCTCTGTGCTGCTGTTTGTAACTCCACAGCACGAGCCCAAGTCAGCTGACCCAGGCTTTGAGCAGGGCCTGCCTCGCTTGGGCTCAGAGTTTCCCTCTTGTACTGTACGGCTTCTGCTGGGCCTAAGGGCTTCTTAACCTCGGTCCCATGCGGTTTCTGCCCGAAGCCTGAGGCTCAGGGCTTCCCTCCCCCGTCACGCACACAGCGTCCGCTGTGCAGCTTCTGCTGAGGCTCTGGGAAATCCTTCTCCTCCTCCCATTTGGCTCGTGCTCACTTGGGGCTTCCCCTCACCACCCACCCCATTTGCCACTGCTGGCAGGAGAGAGCAGCCAGGGGAGGGGCTGGAGAGGAACCAGGCAGCAGAGGTGACAGGGCCATACTCTAGGCATACAAGTAAATCCCCAAATTTCCAGGTGCTCTACACAGCTGCGTATTTCGTGTGTGCCCAGAGACAGCCCTGGCTCTGAGGCTCACCGCGCTGGGTCTTCTTTTTTTCTGCTTAGCCATACTAGTGGGGTTAAGTCACTTGCCCAGAGTCAGAGGCAGGTGATGGAGTGGCCAAACCTCTTGACCGTTCTTCTGACCAGTCATGCCTATACACAGACACACAAACTTGCTTGACGGCTTTGACTAGGGTCCAGAAGAACCACGCAGCAACGGTTTCGTGGCACAGTACTTGTGGGAAGCCCCCGTGAATGGGAGGTGGGACGCGTCCATGGTTCCGGTGGCCAGTCGCTCTGATTTTCTGGTTCCCTGGGTGACCGCAGCAGGTGGTTCTTCTGACCAGTCATGCCTATACACAGACACACAAACTTGCTTGACGGCTTTGACTAGGGTCCAGAAGAACCACGCAGCAACGGTTTCGTGGCACAGTACTTGTGGGAAGCCCCCGTGAATGGGAGGTGGGACGCGTCCATGGTTCCGGTGGCCAGTCGCTCTGATTTTCTGGTTCCCTGGGTGACCGCAGCAGGTGGCTTGGTGGCTTTGTCTCGCAGCACGGGAAAGCCGCTTTGCACCTGGCCGCAGAGAACGGCCACGACCAGATTGCCGACGTCCTGCTGTGGCACAAGGCCTTCGTCAATGCCAAGACCAAACTGGGCCTGACGCCGCTTCACCTCAGCGCCCAGAACGGCTACAACCATCTAGTCAAGCGCCTCGTGGAGACGCACCTGGCCAGCATTGATGCTATGACCCTGGTAAGGAGGGGCCTTTGGGTGAGACTCCACTGCATGCACTTCCCTTCAACTCCGACTGTATCCATTCCACCCCAGCACGAGGCTGCTTTTTTCAGGCGGATACATGGTGCGAGGTTCTCACTTCTCATGCGGATACATGTTTGGTAGACGGGTCAGAGGGATGTAAAAGGGCCCCCAAAGTCCCTTATCTGCCTGGGGGAGCAGTCCCCTGCGGAAGACGGTTGTAAGACGGCCTGTCGAGAAGAACCCATCTCGCACAGCCTGCTTGTGCAAGAAGCCGGGCTGGGAGCCAGAGGGATGTCTCAGGGGTAGGCCATAGAACTCAGGGCTGAGGAGAGCAATGGCCCCAAGGGCAGCTGGTGAAATGATTTAGGCTCCTGTGGCTGTGTCTAAATTATGCTGGGAATCTCTCCACTCCGTAGAGCAGCCGGGGGTCTGACAGGTACAAAGGTGGCTTCGAGCCACTGGAGTCCTTCTTCCCCCTAGCCGGGAGTCCTGAGCTGTGCCTCCAAGAAGCTGGCCACAGACCCACAGTCCAAGAAAGTCTTGGTGTTGGTTGCGTTGGTGTTCCGGTTGCATGAGATGTCGTCAGGGTGGAGAACGACCTTCTTGGTTGCTTAGGATTGTCTGGGCCAGGGCAGAAGCTGCAGCATTTGCTAACGCGTTGGGACAGTCTAGTGCAGACAAGCCCCGCTGCCTTTAACCTGTGCGAAACTCATGGGCTGTCTGGGCTTTCATGAGGACTCGCCTTGGGTGAACTTGTATTTTGTGCCTCCTTGGCTTCCCACTTCACCCCACCAGCCCTCCCAGCCTCCCTGGCTCCTGCTGCTTCCCTGGGCTCCCTCCCCCCATATTGCCCCCAGACCCTGCTGCCTCTCTCCCTGCTGCCCGAAGCTCTCTCCTGCAATCTTGCACCCCAGCCTGCCCCCTCCTTGCCTTTAGACCATGGTGCCTCCGACCACAGAACCCTAGACGGTCGCCCATGTCACCCATCCATACAACGGGCCCTGGGTTTAATCAGACTGGGTTAGCACATGTTAAAGGCAGGGGGCCTTGAATACACCAGGTTCTTCAAAGATGTGTGTTAGCCTGTGCTTGCCTCATTCCCTTCCCTCCTAGACCTCATCTTCACTGGGGAAAGAGGCGTCTAGTTAGCCAACATGAGGCAACAAAGCATGAGGCAAAACCCTGTTTGGAGACAAGGCCACGTGTCGCTTTCCCATGGGTTGGCAGGTTGAGGTGCAAACCCAATGGCTCCTAAAGCGTAGGGATGTATTGTTTCACTAGTTAACTGATTACAGGGGAGGGCAGGCAGGGGGGAGGGGTGTTGGTGCTGGCCCCCCACTCCCGACCCTGCTGCAGGCAGGGGCTGCACTGGCCAGGCAGGAGTAGCCCCTGCCGGTGGGGTGTCCGGACCCACCTCAGACAGGGGCTGCTCCAGCCCCCACCAGTTAACCTTAACCTTAAGGGTGAGGCTTACCAGGTAATCGGTTAAACATTTGCAGAAGAGAAGAGTGAGGGGGGATTTGATGTTTCAACGTCCTGAAGGGAGGTTCAAAAGAGGATGGCGAGAGGCTGTTCACAGTGGGGGCAGACGGTAGAGCGAGGAGCAATGGGCTCAAGTTACAGTGGGGGAGGTCTAGGTTGGATATTAGGAAAAACTATTTCCCTAGGCGGGTGATGAAGCCCTGGGATGGGTTCCCTAGGGTGGTGGTGGAATCTCCATCCCTAGAGGTGTTTAAGTCTCGGCTTGACAAAGCCCTGGCTGGGTTGATTTAGGTGGGATTGGTCCTGCCTTGGGCAGGGGGCTGGACTTGATGACTCCTGAGGTCTCTTCCAGCTCTCTGATTCTATAATCCTTACCTCAGAACTTTCACCTCAGCCTGTGAATGGGTGGAAGCGATAAACTGACTGGCCTTCAGTCAGACCTTACCAGCTAACCCGTGGTAAGAAAAGGCCTTTCCCCAGTGAAGACACACCACTATGTTTCCAAGGCCCAAAGCGGTGTCTGCGCTCAGAGACCTATAGGGCTGGCCCCTCGCCGGGGGTGGTGTTGCCTCCTGTGGGGAAGCCGGCGGGACAGCACCTCGTACTGAAACGTGTGTGGCTTTTGTCCTCGGGCAGACCAAGCGAACCCCTCTGCACCTCGCTGCGCTGACCGGCCAGCTGGACGTGTGCACCAGCCTGCTGAGCATGAATGCGGACGTCAACGCCACCGACATCGTAAGTCTCTCTCGCGTGCAGCCAGCCTGGCCCTGCAGCAGGGCACTGGGGAGGGTGTTTCACAAGCCCGGTGGAAACAAGTGCATCTCAGCACAAAACATCCCGCCTCAGCTGCTGCTGCCAAAGACAAAACACGTTGCTTTCTCCTTGGGCTTTTTAGGCTCTTTCTGGATGGATGCAACATGGAATCTCATGGTCATCCCCGAACTGTCTCTCCCCACCCCAGTTTGATTGCTGTTTTCCTTTGCTAAGGCCATTTGGAGAGGGGGACCCCATGCCATGGTGGCTGGGTGCTAGATTCCCCTTCCCCGCTTACTGCCGTTCTGTCGGCAGAATGTCCCTTCCGAAGTTCCCAGCCCCTAGAAATCTCCTAACGCCCCCAGATCGTGATGCTGTGCTCTCCCCCCACCTGCCCCTCCTGCAGGCCTGGAGTGGTTTAGCCCCACGGGGAAGTGGTATCGTCCCCATTTGGAGGCAATGAGGCAGGTAGCAAGTTGTCTAAGGATTGGGACTGTAGCTCCCGTCCCCTGAATCTCTGCTCTGTGCCTTAGCCCGTAGATTGTCCTTTCTCCCCAAAAGAAGCCTCACCACTGGGTGCTGCTATAACTGCCATCCATCTGGCTCTCTCCAAGTGCAGAGAGGGCAGGACATCCCTTGGATTGTAACTTTCACCAATCCTGCTCCACTGCTCTGCTAATCTATTGCTGAATTGAATGTGTTCAGCCGCTTGCCACTGGTCAGATGGCAAAAGTACCCCATGAAGTACCTGTGACTTCTCCTGGGGGGACGGACGGCGGGGGACAGGAGGTTGGCTCTGCCACTGACTCACTTTGTGACCTTGGGCAAATCACTTGTCTGTTTTGTGCTGCCGTTTCCCCATCTGTAAACTGGGGTCAGGGATTGTTCACAAGGCTCTGATGGGGCTTAATACATTGGCGTATATGATCTCCTCCAGTGGAAGATGAGTTAGAGGGGCCACAGCTTGTTATTGAATTGGCAGGAGTGCTTACACCTCCCTGCGTCTGTGCCAGACGTCACTTTTAATCGCTTGCTGCTCTGCTTTGTGTCCCTTGCTGCTTTTCCCCCCTGCATACGGATATTTTATTGCAAACATTCCGTGCTGTTTTTTACGGCCGGATATTTCACTTGCTGGCCTCTTTCCATGGCTGATTCCTGTGTCTTTCTCATTGTCGGTTCCTCTGCTAAACATAACAGTTGGGAGCACGCTGGGGGAGCTGTCTTACCTCTTGGGGAGCAGGAACGGCCAGGGACACCATGTGAGAGTGAGCAAGCGGATGAGTGTGCGAGTGAGTGTGAGAATTCAGTGCTGGTGAAAGGAGCCAGACGGCCATCTCTGAAGATGTGATTGCAGAGACTCATGCTGCCACTGCTTGTGTTACCCCTGTGGCCATGCAGGCTTTCTTCTCCACCTTGCATGCACACACCCGTCCGCCGATGTCCCTCGCCCCTGTACCTCTCAGCTGAGTAGCAGGTGTTCTAGCTTTCTAAACCTCTGCCCTTAGTCCATCTTCACCGCAAGTTCAGCTGTTGGCCAGCAGGCTAGAGAGGGCCCATGGGGAATCAATCCAGGAAGCTTCTTCGGTGCCGTAGTTCTATGGCGCAGTTTCACAGGTACCTTTGGGAGCAGTGGCAAGAGCCAGAGAACACAAGCAAAATTCCCCTCGTGGTTTTGATTTTGCGAATGCCCAAAGCAAAGCAGGGACTTTGTGCCCCACAGCCTGGAGCCTGCTTCGGTGGTAGCAGGGACGCAGGATCTCAGACAACTGTCTTGGCAGGTTAAAATACTTTTCCATTCAACCCTCACAGCCGAGTGGTTGATTTTGTTTTCCGTCTCCAGCTGCCTGATCAAAAAAAGGCCCGATCTAGCCCCAAACATGACCCTTTGGATACAGTCCAGGTGGCTCAGGGCTGAATTTCCCGCCTCTCTAAGGGAAGCCTTTAATTTGGGGAAAATTTCTCCCTTCAAATCTGAACATGTGAATTTGAAAAATGTCCCCTCTTTTGCCCTGGCCTCTAAGCACCTCAGAGGACTGGAGACCCAGCCAAGCCCCGGACAGGCTGGGGTTTCACAGAGCCTGGTTCTGTTTTCCCCTCAGCACGGACAGACGCCGTTGCACCTGGCTGCGGAGAACGACCATTCGGAGGTGGTTCAGTTCTTTCTGAAGCACAGGCCAGAACTGGTGACTTCCGCCAACGTGGAAGGCTCGACCTGCGCCCACCTCGCTGCCTCTAAAGGCAGCGTTGCTGTGATCAAGGAGCTGCTGAAGTTCAACAAGGTGGGGGCGACCACGGCACGCAACAAGGTGAGTCCCTGTGGCGGTGGCCCTGTCCGGCTGGGCCGTGTCACACCGGGCTGACCCCACGGCCTAGATCTGCGCCTGCTCCGGTATCCCAGAGGGATTAGGAAGCTGGGAGTTAAACCTTCATGCAGGAGTGAGCAGGGGGGAATGGAGAGCTCTCCAGGGAGGATTCTGTGTAGAGGAAGAGGGTGTTGCACCATCTGTCTCCCATCTGTGTGAAAGCTCATGCAGTGCCCAGCTAGGACCTGGTGGATCATTGATTCGGCGTGGCCACGTGATCAGAGTCTTAGCTCCGCGGACAGCAGGCCTCCGGAGTGTCATTGCTCTGCTCCCTGCGGCCACCTCAGAAATGCAACAAGCTCAGACCTGCCCAAGAAAACGGGGGACAGCTGATGTACCCCTATGGACTCAGCTCTCCCGGAGGGTGGGTGCAAAGAGGCCAGAACTCACATTAGTTGCATCTTCCAACATCACCATCCAGACATGGAGAAGCTGGATAACCCCAGTCACAGCGCAGACCTGATACTCCGCCTCTTTGCTGTGATAACACAATAAGGGAACCCCTCTGTCTTCCTCACAGCCTTCAGGAGACAGAGGAGTCTAGACAAGACCCTAAGGGGAACGTGCCGGTTTTAGTGAAGGATGTTTTCCCCTTCCCCTTTGTACCAAGCCATGGGCAGGCCTTCCGACAACTCTCGGCTGATTTTCAGCAATACATTTGCTGCAGCTTCTCCCTTTTCTTTGGTGATCATGTAGCTACAGTAGGAAGGGCTTTGGCTGCACAAGGTAGTGCAAGGTGTCCTTTGCTGTGAGGTTGCTTGCAGCTCTCTTGGGGCCTGGCTTGTTGGGCCAAGCAGAAGCCTGGCAGTCATAGCTGCTAGCAATCCACCCACCCCCCACAGGCGATTCGGCACAGCTGTTTGCCCCTCTGCTCTCCGTGGCCTGTATGAAGAATCGCAGGTCGCACCCTCAGGCCAAGGTAGCATTGAAGAGAGCCAGGCCTGAGGCATTTGGAGGAGAAGTTCTGGTGCCCTCGCCTCACCGCTCTTGTGAGCCCCGCATGACGAGTGCCACCCCTCGTGTGCGCACTAGCAGAGGCACTGCCCAGGGCTAGTTACCCCGCCGGTCTGTCTTTGTGTTGCAGACAAACAACTCCACTCCCCTGCACCTGGCAGCCGCCGGGGGGCACTGCGAGGTGGTGACAGTCTTGCTGCAGACGGGAGCCTCGGCCGTGGAGGAGGACGGCGTACGTACCCAGGGCTCCGCCGGGCAGATCCCAGCCCATACGGCAGAGCGGGTGAACACAGTGTGGGGTGGCTGTCTCCTTTGGCCGGCAGAGTCAAGAGCATGAGGTCTTGTAACTCTGTGATCAGCACGGGGGGGGGCTATAACACCCACTCGCCTATTGGTTCAAATGCCCCTCCCTCGTTTCCTGGGGCGTGCTCAGAAGAGCATCTCCCTTTGGCAGGGAGAGTCGCATCCAAAAAACGTACAGGCATCCTCGCCGCTATCCTCCATGGGCGCCTCTTGTCTGAGTCTTTCCCTCTCCAGGGAAGCACTAGCCTTTCTTTGAGATGCTCAAGTAAAAGCAGCCCTGCCCTGGTCCTTTATACCTCTTCCCTCCTCTGGTTTGTCTCTTGTAGATGAGTCCCAGGTGGGCGCCATGTTGAGACTGGTGAGCTGTTTAATTCAGGGAGGCCGGGTTAAAGCCCTCTGCCCCAAACTGTGACAGGGCTGTGATGTTTCACCTGTAACCAACCAGCCTCCTCTTCCTTCGTGACACTTCGAACAATTCCAGGCTAAGATGGTAGCTCTCTATTGGGTAGCCTGGTGTGTTGGCTGCCCAGTCAGCCGGTGACAACCTGAATCACCACAGCATGGCGCCAGGCTGTGATGTGAGTGTCAGAACCCCAGAGAATACGGATAGACCCTAGGAGGCCTGCTCAAAAGCTCTGCCCCTCGCTCCCAGTTCCTCCGTTGCAGTGACAGCACCCTGGGGTTTGCACTCGGCCCCGATGCTTTTCCTCTGCTCCTCAGGAAGGAATGACGGCAATTCACCTGGCCGCCAAACATGGGCACCTCAGCGTGCTGGAGGCCTTAAAGGGTAGCGTCTCCTTGAGCATCGCCAGCACCAAGGTAAGTGAGCAGTCACTGGCTGTGCCCAGCGGGGGGCCTGCCGCCTGTGGCGTGGGTGCGGCGGGGCCGGGGCACTTCACCGGGCAACAGGCCGGGGGGG